CAAGTACTATAAAAAGTACTGGACATATTCATATTGTGAACTGGTGATGGTACAAGATGGAAAGTTAAGGGATCCTCTAAGTGATTTCAATTCATCCTAAAGGGAAAATAATTTGTCAAATCAGACATGGTGAATAATAAAAAATAAAGACACAGCAATTAAAAAAATAGAGATATGAGATTATAGATTAGTATCTGGTTGTTTCAGCATGTCATTTGTCTTCGAGCTGCAGCTTTTACTTACTTTTCTTTTAATTGCTTTACTGGGGCAATTTGGACATTGTTAACTTTCTCAAAGAACTGGTAAAGTTATACTTACTTCCCTGTATGTTTTTTTCTGAGCCCTTCCAGAGACTGTTTCGTCACCTATGTTGTTATTCTGGTCAAAGTTGCCGCCTTTGCTCTTTTATAAGCTGAGACAAACATTTGTCTCCCACCTGAATCTGTCAGGAAGAAAAAAAACTGAGCAGAACAGATTGAAAGTGAACTTGAGGTTAGTTATCTTTCTGAAGCACACCTGGACCCACACATAACACTGGGGCCCTTCCCTTTACTGCTGCCATCTCATATAACATCCTCTGGCCAGAGCTGGGAGACACACACACACACACACACACATTGCTCACTTAGGAGACAAATGCACAAAAGGTGGGGTTGCATGGTTGTTACAGCAGTACTGGACATGAAAAGACACCAATTACTTCTTATTGATTGTAATCAATACACTCATCAAGATGAGTGGATGATCTGTGACAGCTGTCATTGTGTGTGTGTCATTATGTTTTAAACATGAGAGTTCTACTAAGATGTATAGTGAATACAGTGACTTGGAGATTCTACATATGGGAATGTAAATTAGATGTCCGTCCCTACAACGTAATTTGCTAACTTTCTGTTTTACATTATAAACACAACATTCTCACCACCCTTGTTCAGTTTATTCTTTATATTCAAGTCAGGGACATCTCATAAAGTATAGTACCTAGTATAGTAATATAGTATAGTAAAATCCAGATTTTCAAAAGTATTACACTTTCACACAATGTAAAGAATGCATTCAAAACCATTCGAGCTGTAAATCTCTTATTGCTATTGTCTCAACATGTCCGTCATGCAGACGCAGTTGTGTGTTTTGCCATAATCACTTTGATCCCAGTTATGAGAAAGCAACACTTTTCAAAATGTCAGCCTGCTCCTTTGTATTCAAACTGAGAAGGCTGACAGTAACCTGAGAGGAGCTCAGTCAGCAGCTCTCATTCATCCTCCTCCTGCAGCATGCTGTTGTTCAACACGTTCTAGGTTTCAGCTGATTACTCTTTAAATACTAATTTCAGTCTATTACTGCACATCTAGTCTCTCTCATGTGTTATTTCTACCTAGCTACTTAATTAACTATAGGTTATGTTTTCATCAGTGTTTGTTTTATTATATTTCTTGGCACAATCATGCAAAATTATCAAACCAATTTCCATGAGACTTGGTGGAAGAATGTGTTAAAGTGTTAGGAGAGAACCCATTAAACCTTTCTATGGATCCTGATCAGGGTCAGATCAGGATTTCTTTATTTTTGTCTAACATTGCGAGATAGGCTGTTGATGACATTTTATCTAAATTCCCAGAGAATAATTCTTGTATCTTGATGAAAACATTATGCATGTTTAGGGGACTGATATTTCTGAGTGAAAATTCGTGCAGATCCAAGTAAAAATGTTTTATCTGTTGAATTTAAATCTGTATTCATAAGGGAAATGTTGGTCTTGGTGGAGGTATGCAGAGTGCCATTCTTGTTGTTTAAGATATATTCTATAGGTTTCCAGATGATCACTCTTTAAATACATATTTTATCACCGTACATACTGTTATTGTTCAGTATTCATTACTTAACTTATCGATCAAATGGAGCTTCCTTGCTAAAGTATTCCACACCACTGCACTTCTAAAGGCTAAACAGGCTTACTTAATCAATAGAGCTCAGAGAAAGTGCAACGCGCTGATATGTTGTGAAAGCTCTTGTACGGAGTTCAACATGATTGTGAAACTGATGTGAGAGTGTTTTATGAGTATCCTAAGGCTTCATGTTTCTTCAGTGTAATAAAGACACTCCCTACCAGTCAGCTCGCTGTGAACAAACACAGGGCTGTGGCTCGGGCGAGTTTGGGCACTGCATTTTCCTCATGCATGTGTGTCAGAGAAAATAGTTTTGACTGTCACTCCTCTTCTTTAGCACCCCAGGGAGGGTTTTTTCTCCCCTTATGTTGTAACACTGTACATGTTGTATACAGAGCAGATAGACAACTTATTTCTTAATTATTCTATCCTAATTCAAATCATTTACAGCGTATACATACCAATGTGATATTTTATTGGGACACTTTATGCTTATTTTGTTAAAGATTGAGTAAAATTTTAAATCATGAATGATTCATCGCTGACATCTCAGACACTCCCACTGTCTATTAAAGCCCTGCCTAAACTGGAATATATGTGTGTATTGTTTTATCTGTTGATCATTGTTTTATATTGCGCTATATGTTAATTTAATCTAACCATATGAACGTGTGATGGATGAATGTATGTTAATGTTTTTTTATTGTGTTCCTTTATTGCAGACACAATTATTGATGTCCAAAGCTGATTGCCCACTTGGACAATGAAGTCTATTTAATCTTTATATGACTAAGTCTGATTCAGAGTTAGTCAGCAATGACTCATGTAAACTCACCAGTAATCTTCAGGCATGATCCATCCCCTGATCTATATCAAAATTTAAAGTGTTTTTCCCTAAACCATTCAGCATCCTTCCACCAAGTTTCAAGGAAATCTGTCTTGTAGATTTGACTTATTCATGCTTAAAAAATAGACAGACTGATGGACCTAAAAAAATATATTCATTATATGATGCTAGTTGATGTTAGTTGTGACGATTAACACCATCACCAGGGATGAATGAGAGCTGATAAGGCTGACAGGGTGAAACAGAGGGAGACCTGTGACTGCACGTCAGAGAGAGGAAGTGCCATGTGTCATCACACACACACAGCAATGCACAGGCCAAGGGCAAGCTAAGATAACACACACCAGGCTGCAAATCTTATCAGCGATAGAGCTGAATCCTGTTACTGACCTATACTGTGAACATAAATCACTGCTGTGCCTTCAGCTGACTGCTGCTCGTACAAGCCACACACATGCAAAAAAGGAAACATGATTTAGGGATGCCTCTACTTTCTAGAAGGGCATTTTTATGAGATTATATTATCAACATTCTGCCAAACATGTGACTGACCAGGACAAAAGCAGTGGGTTTCCACATTTGTTAAGTCATGATCTAAAATAAAATCTAATAAAGATCAGGAGAAAGTCTCTGTTTCCTGTCCAAGTAATCTTGAAGCACAGAACCAATTCTATCCTGTGATATTTCCAGAGCCTGCTCATGAACCTTTAAGAAGATAACGGACCTGAATAAGCACCACATTCCTCCCTCTGCCCTTTTCCTTTTTTTGCAGCCATTATTTGTGCCTTTTCTACTGTTAGTGGGCAGTTCCCCTCTCCCTCTCGTCTGTCCTCTTTCTCTGCGTGCAGACAAAGCCTGCGTTGTCTGCTGAAATGCTGTGTTGCGGGGGACAAGCTTTGGGTCAGTGTCTCGTGGAATGCCTTGAAACCCATCTAGTGAGAGAGTTTGTTAATTGTGTGTCTGTGCCCAGGCTGCTCTCTGACTCCCCTCATGGCTCTTGTGACTCATTTAATGAGTCGTTACAGTTAGAGCGAGAATGCATGATGGATTGTCATTCTATTTTCTCATCACACCCGTTCCTTTGGTATAAATTTAAATCTTTATCTAATTCTCTTCCCATCTGTCACGATCATTGCGTTGCTATTGTTGTCTGGATTAAACAGCCATGTGCCAAGAGGGAATATTGGTATTTCTGACAAAAACACTGTATTGACGAACTGTTCCAGCATCTCCTCCTTCTCCTACGTCTCCCTTTTAACTAACTACAAGGATGTTTCATGTCAGCAAACACAATTTACCGTTAGAGTGAGGATGTCACTTGTGCAAATATTCCCCCTCTTGTGGGACTTGGGACATGTATTGTTTACTCAAAGGAGTTCAACTGCAGGCTTTATTACAGAGTTACAGTACATGCCAGTGCATCCTCTTGCACCAATTTGTTTGGTCTGCAAATATGTTTTGACTGAACTTCAGGCCTCATTGACTTGGTATTTATCTGCAGGGACTGTTTTGCTGCAAACTAAGAACAGACTAAAGAGGTATTAAAGTATTTTTTTCCGATTTCTAACATGCATGGGTAAAAAAAATAGGTGAAACAGAACTGCAAATGGACCAAACGGAAACATTTTTCATTGCTTTCACGAACAAAAATCCGTGAGTTCTTTTCTCATTCATACTCCACCAGCTGCAAACAACTTTATATTTACACCAAAGCGAAATCACTGTTCTCAAAACAGATTCAAATCAAAATGATGGCAAATTGAACACATTTCTGCAGAAACCATATTGCAATATAAAGATAACTGTAGCAGAATATTCACAATAAAATATTCATCAATAATAATCATTCCAAACACACACACAGCTGATGAAAAAGATGCTCCGTTGTTAAATTTTTATTAATGAACACCAACTCAGCATGATATAATTATTTTGAAATATGATTCATTATATTGAATAAAGTGACATGGAAATGTAATATTTCATTAAAATACATAAAGTCACTGTTTTACAAATCTTTTGGTGTAACGCAGACCTCAGTGTGTGTGTGTGTGTGTGTGTGTGTGTGTGTGTGTGTGTGTGTGTGTGTGTGTGTGTGTGTGTGTGTGTGTGTGTGTGTGTGTGTGTGTGTGTGTGTGTGTGTGTGTGTGTGTGTGTGTGTGTGTGTGTGTGTGTGTCTGTGGGTGTGTGTGTGTGGAAGGGGCGGTGAAAGTGCAGTGGAACACAGTAAACCCAGTGAGAAACAACTCAGTAGCACTCTGCACCTCTTCCAGTAAGGACTCACCTTTCACCACCTCCAGGGAACTATTCTTTTACCTATGCATCATGGAGCTCACCTGTGGACTGTGGCTGCCCGTCCTCCTCATGGGATTTGGGCGAATGTGGGCTTTCAACCTGGACACCGAAAACGTCCAGCGGAAGAGCGGGGATCCGGGCAGCCTGTTCGGCTTCTCCCTCGCCATGCACCAGCAGCTCGTACCAAGTGATAAGAGAATGTAAGAGGAGTTGAAGCCATTTGTCTGTTTGTGCGTCGTCCCAAGCATTACATTTTTGGGAGACACGCCACTAATGTCTTTAAAATAACTCCAGTAAGCGTGTCATTAAAATGTCACAGTGGGTAGATTGTAAATGTTTATTATGGGCTGTTAAAGCTGCAACATGACGACAATAACACATTTAAACACGTTTTAGAAGCAAGAGTGCATGAGAAAATGCCACAGGTATGTCACAGGTGAAAGCAGGAACGTTTCTTCTCACAAAATCTCTCCTGCTTTGAGTTTAGTCATTGACCTTAACCTTGTTAATATTGCTCAACTTTTCATTGGACCTCCACAGCAGGTTTTTTTTCCCACAGGGGCACAGTATCTCCTTTAAACAGTGTTTATAAGTAAGATCCAGTCCAGGCATTTGTGTCCAAAACAGTTCCCTGAATCATTGTTGGCATTTTTATGGGCAGTGGCTCACAGGGGCTTGTCATGCTGCATAAAGGCCCAGTGCCATCAAGTGGTCACTGGTCTGACAAAGCCTAAATATTAACCAACCTGAGATCAAAGGAGGCACATTCTTTCAACTGGGAAGCTGCCAAATCAGCCAGCCAGAGATACGTTTGTGTTTGATTGTACATTAGATAGTTTTGAGACTCCGTGATCACTGGTGGAGGAAGTATTCAGATCCTTTAAAAGTACTCTGTAAAAAGCCATATATTTACAAATATTACCAAAGTAAATACAAAACTATGAAATGCACTTAGACTATCAAAGGCTGACAAAGCAAATACAGATGCTGTAGAGTGTAATAAGAATTTCAGTCTTACAGATGGTAGAGATAGAGTTCCACTGCTTACTGTGTCCTAATGCTGGGTTGAACAATTTGATATGAAGCATTAAGTGCTACAGGTTCATCATATTTTCTATATGTAAAATCATATTGAATTAAGTACACTAAGTTTAAATT